GTTTAGAGGCTGCAGTGAGCTATGTTTGCACCACCACATTCTAGCCTGGGAGACAGAGCAAGACCCTATCACAGAATAATAATGACAGTAATAATGTGCTGGGACAGCTTATTAACCATTTGGAAAAAGATAAAATTGGATCCATTTTTCACATCACACAGAAGAACAAATTCTAAACATATCAGGGATGTAAATGAAAAACAAAGAAACCACACAAATACTAGATGTGTTCCTCTTTCACCACAGCGTTAGGGTAAAGCTTCCTAACAATTATTCACAATGCAGAGGCAATACAAAATCAACAAGGTGACCATAAAACAAACGACACTTCCACCTGACTGAAGAGCATACACAAAGTCACAAGACGACCTATGAACTGGGAGAGTGTCTGCGGCACATGGCATGGTTAAAAGGCAAATGTTCCTACCACATAAAACATTCTTAAAACACAGAAGGGAAGAGACCAAACCCTAGTACAAAATGAGAAATAGGTATGAACAGAAAATTCATATACACACAAAGAAATAGCCCTTAACACTACACTGAGCTCACCGTAATCGGGGAAATGCAAATGAGAACCACACCGAGGACTTATTGCAGCTAATGGAATGGTGCAAGTTAAAAGGCCCGACATCACTCTGCAAGCAAGGCTGTGGTCGAACAGGTGCTCTGGGTGGGCTGACTGGAGGGTCTGGAGGAGAACCCGGAGGCAGCTAGCAAAACTATGAGAGCACTTTCCTTTATAAAAACTTTTTAAAATTAATTATTATTATTTTTGAGATAGGGTCTTGCTCTGTTGCCCAGACTGGAACGCAATGGCATAATCTTGACTCACTGCAACCTCCACCTCCTGGGCTCAGGTGATCCTCCTGCCTTGGTGTCTCGGGTACCTGAGACTATAGGTGAGTGCCACCATGCCTGACTAATTTTAGTATTTTCAGTGAGAGACAGAGTTCCACATGTTGACCAGGCTGGACTCGAACTTCTGACCTCAAGTGATCTGCCTGCTTGAGCCTCTCAAGTGCTTGGATTATGAGTGTGAGCCACTGTGTTCAGTCTTCATTTTTCTTTTTTTAAGAGACAGGGTCTGACTCTGTCGCCCAGGCTGCAGTGCAGTGGTGCGATCAAGACTCACTGCAGCTTCAATCTTCTGGGCTCGAGCGATTCTCCTGCCTCAGCCTCCCGAGTAGCTGGGACTACAGGCAAGCACCACTGCGCCCAGCTGGTTTTTTTTTTTTTTTTAAGTAGAGACAGGGTCTTGCTATATTGCCCAGGCTGATCTTAAATTCCTGGCCTTAGGTAATCCTCCTGCCTCGGATTTCCAAAGTACTGGGATTACAGGCATGAGCCACCACATTCGGAACACACTTAACTTTTGACCCAGCCCTCTCCCTTCTATGAAGGTGCTCCACAAAATCACCTCCAAACAATATGGAAATACCTACGCACACAAGTACTCACTGTAGTACTGGGTATAATGATTAAAACGAAGCACTGAGGCCAGGTGCGGGGGCTCACACCTGTAATCCCAGCACTTTGGGAGGCCACAGTAGGCAGATCACTTGAGGTCAGGAGTTCAAGACCAGTCTGGCCAACACGGTGAAACCTCGTCTCTACTAAAAATACAAAACTTAGCTGGGTATGGTGGCATGTGCCTGTAATTTCAGCTACTTGGGAGGCTGAGGTGAGAGAATTGCTTGAACCTGGCTGGGGGCAGAGACTGCAGGGAACTGAGATTGTGCCATTGAACCAGCCTGGGTGACAGAGTGAGACTTCAACTCAAAACGAAAACAGAAACAAAAAAAACCAAAACACTGGAAACAACCTAAACACTCGAACACAGAAGAGTGACTGAAGAAATCACAGGACTTCTACGATCACTATGGAGTGCTGTGTAGCTGTAGAAAGAATGAGGAGAATCTCTACAAACTGATGTGCAGTGATTCCCAGAATAGATTAAGTGGAAAAAACCCCAAAGGTCAATATTAAATCTGTAATATACTACCTTTTGTTTAAAAAATAAAAGCAAATAAGAAACTGATTAGTTACCTACAGGGAGTGGTTGGTAATAGAGTTTTAAAAAGAGGGACTGGGTAGGGGAGAAAACAAAATGGAATACAAATGGAAAACCCAATCAGATGTGTTTTAAATGAGTAACGAATGTGTACTAAAGGTGAAAAGAACTAATTTAAGTCTTTGTAAATTCAGTATTATTATCACACTCTGAGGCTGAAGACAAAAAATAATGCCCAGAGTTTTCCATCAAGGTTAAGGGCAGGCACTTCTGAAACCTCTCCCTGTGTTCTAGGACTCAGCAAGTCAGTAATGGCACCATGGATGATGGGGTCCAGGTGCTTACTACTGTCTAGGGGTTACAAATGTGGACGGGGGAAGGGAGAATGCTCACTGTGGCACAGGAGTGGGGCTGGGATATCCATGGGAACTCATGGCTTGTACACAGAAATTAGATAGACACTGATGTGTGTGGGTGGCAGGAGCTGGTGTGCATACGCTCACACCCCCACTCCCCTTGCTCTGATGACTGAGAGGGTCTAGAAGCAATGCCATATGGCAGTGATCAGGTCTGGGTTTCTAAACACTACTGTTCAAGAGAAAGAAGAGGGCTCCTTGGAGAAATGACGGGCTCAGGGCTGGGACAGAGAAGGCACAAGATGAGCCTGGGGCATCTAACCAGGACAGAAAGTATAGAGCGCTTAAAGGCTGGAAGGGCCCCATCAAATGGCCTAAGGAAAAAGCCATTCCGAGGGGGCTCCCGCTGACTGGATCCAGACAGTCACAACATAAATATCACTCATAAAAAGCCATTCCGAGGGGGCTCCCGCTGACTGGATCCAGACAGTCACAACATAAATATAACTCATAAAAAGCCATTCCGAGGGGGCTCCCGCTGACTGGATCCAGACAGTCACAACATAAATATCACTCATAAAAAGCCATTCCGAGGGGGCTCCCGCTGACTGGATCCAGACAGTCACAACATAAATATCACTCATAAAAAGCCATTCCGAGGGGGCTCCCGCTGACTGGATCCAGACAGTCACAACATAAATATCACTCATAAAAAGCCACTCCGAGGGGGCTCCCGCTGACTGGATCCAGACAGTCACAACATAAATATCACTCATAAAAGATTCTAATACGTAACATCATGTGAAACACATGTGAATCCACCTAAATGAATGAAAAAAACACATGGGGTTGGAGAGCTCTTTCTATAGTTGATTGGCAAGTAACAAATATAGAAGGAATAATATTAGAAAAATCACCACTGGGCCTGGCATGATGGCTCATGCCTGCAATGTCAGCACTTTGGAAGGCTGAGGTGGGTAGATCACCTGAGGTCAAGATCAGCCTGACCAACATGGAGAAACCCCACCATCATGCCATTGCTGTCCAGCCTAGGTAACGAGCAAAATTCTGTCTTAAAAAAAAAAAAAAAAAAAAATCACCATTTAAAAACACAGTAATAATCCTGTCAGGCAAGAATCATTAATGGATTCTACAACTAGTCAGTCAATGTTCAATAAAAAACAGGATCCTCATCTCCCCATAAGACACTTACTAATTAGCAAACGAGAAATATTAATTTGCCTGTGGCAAAAATGGGCAGACCAGCTCAACGCAGGATCAGAGTTCCCAGCCCCAGTGATGCGAGAGACAGTCATCCACCTCCTGGTAGGATACACACCCAGGGACTGGTCATATCAATGGCGCTGTTGCCAAAACAATCTGAATTTGATTAGGAAGACATGGGGCATACACCCTGACAAAAGGGTACACTAAGAAATAAATGCACTGCACTCTTCAAAAGAGTCAAGGTCATGAAAACCAGAGAAACTGATCCAAAGGAAAAGAAATTAAAGGGACATGGGATCCTGGATTGGGTCTGACGTCAGGAGAAACATCAATGACAACTTTTTTTTTGGTATAAAGGATGTTAAAGGGACAACTAGAGGAACACGAGTAAGGCATGTAATTAAAGAACAGTGCCAGGGCCGGGCACGGTGACTCACACCTGTAATCCCAGCACTTTGGGAGGCCGAGGCAGATGGATCACGAGGTCAAGAGATCGAGATCATCCTGGTCAACATGGTGAAACCCCGTGTCTACTAAAAATACAAAAAATTAGCCGGGCGTGGTGGCGCGTGCCTGTAATCCCAGCTACTCGGGAGGCTGAGGCAGGAGAATTGCCTGAACCCAGGGGGCGGAGGTTGCGGTGAGCCGAGATCGTGCCATTGCACTCCAGCCCGGGTAACAAGAGCAAAACTCCATCTCAAAAAAAAAAAAAAAAATAATAATAATAATAATAATAATAAATAAAGAACAGCGCTGGATCACTGTCAACTTCTTCACTTTGATCACTCTACTGTGGTTTTATTTTTTATTTTATTTTGTTGAGACGGAGTCTCACTCTGTCACCCGGGCTAGAGTGCCGTGGTGCCATCTTGGTTCACTGCAACCTCTGCCTCCTGGGTTTAAGCAATTCTCTGCCTCAGCCTCCTAAGTAGCTTGGATTACAGGCTCGTGCCACCACGCCCGGCTAATTTTTTGTATTTTTAGTAGAGATGGGATTTCACCATGCCACCCAGGCTGGTCTTGAACTCCTGACCTCGTGATCCACTCAGCTCAGCCTCTCAGAGTGCTGGGATTACAGGTGTGGGCCACCGCGCCCGGCTGGCCTGTACTGTGGTTTTTTTCTAAGTGTCCTTATCTTGAGGAAACATACACACAAGTATTTAAGGTTAAAGGGGTATCATGTCCTGTCCAGAAACATGACAGAGAGAGGGAGAGAGAATGATGAGCAAACATGGGAAATACTGATGCTGGGAAACAGGAGTGTGTAGAAATCCTCTACGCTCTTCTCTACAGGCCAGGAGGCCGGGCGGTGAGAGCACGCCAAACCTGCTGTTTTCCCTACTAGCACATCACACATGAAAACCAGGCACCGCTCAGAAATATCTTCCTGCTACTCTATTTACCAATTGAATTGTTGACTCTGTCTCCTTTCTTCTTCTTATTTTTCTTGTTCTTGCCCTTTGGCTGAGGGGAATCTGCCAGCACCAGCTTGTTGTTCTGCTGATGCTCACTGGGAGAGGTGGGCTCCAGAGGGGTTGGGTTTGACTTCTCTTCCTTGATGTGGTTCAGCTGCTTTTTGTTATTGTTATTACTGTTGACTTTTCTCTCCTCTCTTTTCTGCTCTGTGATGGATATGAGGTCGATCACCTTAGCCTTTGACTCAATCTGGGCCCGGGGCTTGGGCTGCCCCTCTGTGGCCTTGGGGGGCTCTGGGGGCCTCCTCGCTGGCTCGCTGCTGGCCTTGCTGGTCTGCCTCAGTTTCTGCTTACTATTTCCCTCCTTATGGTGCTGCATGATGTCGAAGAGAAAAGAGAGTGGCTCATGCTGCTTCCCATTCACCTCCTTGGGGAGGAGAAATTTGGAGTCTCTGGTGTCAACAGGGTCTGCAGAATCCCCGTCAGCCCCCAGCCCTGGCCTGGGCTCTGAGTGGTTCATGTGCCTGGATGGGGAGTGAGAAGAGGTTTCTGGTTCTTCACTTTGCTCTAGCGAGCCATTGTGGATGTTTTCAGAGTTAGCGACAGACTCTGCCGCTGCCTGGAAATTTCTAGCGAGCATGTCCAACTTGGGGCAGTCTTTACTTGGCCTCTCCTTCTTCTTCTTTTTTACAGCTCTTAGCTTCTGAAGCTCCTGAAGCCGCTGAAATTCCTCCTTGAAACGTTCCTCCTCTTCCTCCTCCTCCTCCTCCTCCCGCCGCCTCTGCTCCTCCTGGAGGTGCAGGTGCTCCCGGGCCCTGGCCTCTGCTTCCAGACGAGCTTTCTCCTCCAGCTGCCAATGTGAAAAGAGAAGGCAATTTAAGACGACAGTGAGTGCTAAAAATTACGAATACAGAAAACTATGATAGTTTTAAGAACGAATCACATATGGAATGTAAACTCTGAAGACGCTGTAATAAAGCTTAACACACACCCCCCTCCAATTATCTTACTCTACAGGATTGTTAAATTTCATCTATTTACTAATGTATATGCTTATTTGGCGGGGGGTGGGGGGGAGGGAGTAGTTAACAAAAAATTCCCGATACCCTTTGACCGGGTGCTAAACAGGAACCAAGGGCAAAGCACACATCCAGGGAGCCAACTGTCCTCACAGGCGTGGCAGGGCATCTTGCTGCCTGGCCGGGCGGATGACGTAACCAACACCACAGACTGCCTGGGCCGGTGCAGTACTGAGGCCGCACACGTGCCGCCAGAACTCGGGGCAGGCCCACCTTTCCAGGTGAAGGCTAATGCATTCACCTGAACAGGGCGTGTAAGAAATGTGCAGCAGGCCAGGTGAAGCAGCTCACTCCTGTGATTGTGAGTTTGAGAGCAGTCTGGGCAACGTGGCAAAACCCCGTCTCTACAAAGAATACCAAAATCAGCTGGATGTGGTGGTGTGCGCCTGTGGTCCCAGCTATGTGGGAAGCTGAGGTGAGAGAATCACTTGAAGCCATGAGGTCGAGGCTGCAATGAGCAGTGGTGGCACCACAGAAAGAAATATGTAGTTGCCGGGCACGGTGGCTCAGGCCTGTAATCCCAGCACTTTGGGAGGCTGAGGCGGGTGGATCACAAGGTCAAGAGATTGAGACCATCCTGGTCAACACGGTGAAACCCTGTTTCTACTAAAAATACAAAAAAAAAAAAAAAAAAAAAAAAAAAAAGAAATGTGTAGTAAAAAACTAGAAATTCCTTCTTCCCAACCTAGCAGATAAACAAAAGTGCCATGTATTTTCACTAGTGTGACAGAGCAACTTGACAGAATTAATTTCAGCCCAAGTGAAGGCTGCATTTGAGTGATGCATCTCCAGGAGCACAGATGGAAACTGCTCCTTGTGTTCAGAAGGCAGATGAGAGCCAACAGTGCAGGGAGCATGGCTCTGCCCACCACCAACCTTTACAAGTGCTGAGGCTTATGAGAAACTCTGGCAAAGCCTTTCTCCTGGAGAAATAGAAAAGTACTCCCCAAGTATCTATTATTTTTCACAATACTTTTAACAGGCAAATTGACTTGTCTTTTGAAAAACTTTAAAATTACGATAAAAAATTAGTGATATGTTATAAAAATTTTCATTTGACAATTCAAGTAAAAATGATATAACTTCTCCATGTGTATGTCGAGAGCAGCACCCGGCAGGCAGCTCTTGGAATGGCCCTGCAGTCCAGCGTCTGGAGTGAGCTGTGGAGCCACACTGCAACAGAGGGGGGGGGCCGACTCCATCAGGACACTCGCTGGTGCACTCCTGCCAGCTGGCATCCTCTTAGAGGTGATCTAAAAATCCGTCCCGGGCGCCTAGTCAAGACATGGACCCATAACAAGTATGTAAGGACACCTCCTTTGGGGCAGGTGCCCTGGTTTCCAGCAGGGCGGCTGCCCTAGCATAAGCCTCTGGATTGGACCTGCTGCAGGACCAAGTCCATAGATGAACTACTGCCGTCACTTCAACAACCAGCTAGCCAGTGAGCCTCAGCACACGTATGTGAGCTGCTCTGTAGAAAGCACCAGGAAAAGGTCCCTCAAGGTGGGGCTGGGTGCTGAGCATGGCCTATGACATCAGTTTCTAAGGTTCAGCTGGGCCTGAAGTCTGGATCCAGACCACCTGCAAGGTCAGAGGGCAAGAGCCTGGGGTGAAGAGTACCCTGAAAACTCAAGAAGGGGTCCCAGGGGCCTCCAGTGAATCCCAATGGGAAGTCTCGGGGCTTTGCAGCACCGTGGGACCCCGTGACGCTGGACACTCCTGAATGAAGAACACACTATGTTCTCCCTGTTCCAGGAGGCTCTGGTCTTCTGGGGCACAGAACAAGGCTTCTCCCACAAAGCCTCCCAATCAGGCCCAGTAGTCAAGTCTAGCAGAGCCCTTGAAGGTAGAATAGTTAAAATAGCTAAGACAGAAGCAACAACACAGGGCACTGGGCCCATGCTCCGGGTCCACTGTGGGATCGTCTCCTCTTTACCTCTTTGCCTCACCACGGCTGCAGACAGAAACCTGGTCTCTTCCCAAGGCATGTGTCCTACTGCCAGAACCCCAAGAACCTACAGGTTCCCTCTGCATGCAGCCCGCATCTGCTCACTGAAGTCTGCCTCTTGGAGCCTGACATTTTTAGGGAGCTGAAACCAGAAGGCTCTTTGGAACTGCTCCAGCGTAGCGGCATTTAGAAAATCCTCCAAGAGAAGAAAGTTGTTTTTATTTTTTTTGAGACAGAGTTTCACTCTGTCACCCAGGCTGGAGTGCAGTGGCATGATCTTAACCTCTGAGGTTCAAGTGATCCTCCCACCATAGCCTCCTGAGTAGCTGGAACTACAGGCGTGCGTACACCACCATGCCTGACTCCTTTTTTTCTATTTGACATTTGCTTTTTGTGACACACCACGCCCTCTGGCAAGGAGTGTGCAGCTCAAGCCTTCCCACAAATGCTTATTCTCCTCCCTTCTAATCGATGACATGTGCTGGTCTTCATTTGGAACAGCAAGTGGGACAAGAGGAGCAAGGGGGACATGCTCAGACCTGAGTCCAGAAGACTTCCCTGTGCCAAGTGCTCTGCCCTAGTCTCGCATCAGACATTTCTTCTCCCACAGGCCCCAAAAGCCCACCTGGGCCCTTCTGCTATCTCTACAGTTGAGGGCTCCTTTCTTGGAAAAGAAGGCTCTCCAACAGATAAAGCTGGAGTGTCTACTCCTGCCCTCACGATGGATGGCCAGCACAAGAACAAATCCATTCTACAAAAGGGGATGTAATTTCCTGAAAATTACAAACAGTGAAATTTTTTACCAGTCTCCAGTTCAGGCCACCAGAGACAGGCTGGCTCTCAGAGCAATGCTGTGGGCAAGGCAATACATGCCAGAGCCCCAAACTCCTGTAGCTCAGCCCTGCCTGGAGACTGCTGTGGCATGGCGCCCTGAGACGCCCTCAGACCTGGCACCCCCAGGCACCAAGACCCGTCACTTGCCTTCCTCTGCTTATGCCTTGCCCGCTTGGCCGCACGCGTGCTGCTCACTGGTTTGGTCTCGGAGCTGTTTATGAACTGCAACAAATCCTCCACCCTGCGATGGTCAACGACGCTTTCCCTTTCCGAGATCTGATCCAGTTTCTTAGGCTGCTCTTCCTTCCTCTTGGTCAGCCGTAAGCGAAGCTTTTCCCTCATTTCTGCATAATTTCTACTTGTTGGTGCAGCTGGAGGCTGAGAAAAACAACAAAGTCACACTTAAGCTTTAGCAATTTTGAACGTACCTCCAAAAATAAACTGTTACATTACTGAAGTAGTATATATCTGTCGTGAAAAATAAGAAACTAAAACCACCAGCAGAAAGAGAAAAACTTATCAGCAAGTCACCCAAAAGTGGCATTTTGATACCTACCCTCAAATTTTACACATTCATGAAAACCCTGGTAAGCCATGGACAACTATGCACATAAATGGATTTTTTTAACTACAAAGGAAACAATTATAAATCCGGATTACTACTTTATTTATTTATTTCACAGGGTCTTGCTCTGTCACCCAGGCTGGAGTGCAGTGGCATGATCACAGCTCACTGCGGCCTGGACCTCCTAGTGTGATCACAGCACACTGTAGCCTTGACTTCCTGGGTTCAAGCAGTCCTCCTACCTCAGGCTCCTGAGAAGAGGGACAACAGGCGTGTGCTGTCATACCCAGGTAGTTCTTGTATTTTTTGTAGAGACAGGGTCTCACAACGCTGCCCAAGCTGTCTTTCTTCAATTCCTGGGCCCCAGAGATCCTCCTGCCTTGGCCTCCCAAAGTGCTGGTATCACAGGCATGAGTCACTGTGCCTGGCTCTACTTGTTATTTAATACGATGTATCTTTTCATGTCAATAAATGTGTCTTTAGTATCTTTCCATCCATCTGTAGGTTTCCTTTTTGTCAAAACCAAAAAAAAAAACTGCCCTGAATCCTACTGCCAAATTTCTTACTATAACAACATGTCCACATTTTAGGAACTGCAAACAGACCTAAACAGAAAAAGAACAACTCTAAGCCTCTGCTATTCCTACCACCCATCCCTCTTTAACGGCGGGTGATAATTGGTTGTATACATTAAATCACAGCTCTGGAAATATGCAGAAGTATGTGTGTGTACCAAGACTCTCTATATTCAAACAAGAGAAATCCAACTGCACACACCCAGCACTGCGGTCGCTGGCTACGACGCTCCACCATACGGGTACACCATGATTAACAACCTCCTGCCATTTACCAACTACCTTAAAAACCACAAACAAAACATAAAATGAAGAATGAAATCATTATGGCTCAATCTTTGGGGAAATATTTTTGTTTCTTTAGGATAGGAATATCCTAGAAGTGGAAAACCCTGAATTCAACCTAGTACAGAATTTCTGCCAAGGAGCCCGTGTCGCCCACTTCCCACATCACAATGCGCTGACCTCATGCACTCACCCCGCCGTGCCCAAAGAATTCGCAGTAGCAGCAGTCGCAGTACTTGCCCTCCTTCTGGTTGGTGGAGGTGGAGGTGCTGGAGCTGTGCTCAGAGCAGCTGTCCTCATCCGCACTCTCGTCCCCATCGTCCTGCTGCGGGTCGTAGACACCATTCTCGCAGCGGTGCCCTTCGCAGTCAGGATCGCTGCAAACCACACACAAGCTCATCAGCAAGCGGCCGGCCCCGGAGGCAACAACTCGCACTGCTGCTCACCACCCCCCACAGACAAGAGGCAGCGCGGAAGCTGCACGGCCCAGGGCTCCTGGGGAGTCAGCCACAGGCAGTAAGGGCACTGACCGGGGGCTCACATGGGAGGCACGGCAAGTGCGTGTGCATGCAGGCGGTCCCTCGCGGTGCTCACAGAGCACCACTGAACAGGAGCAGAGTCTCTCCAATGACTCCTTCAGAGACTGTTCCCACAACCACAGCTTCTGTACTACGGAGAAGGGGCATAGCTTCAAACAGGTGAGTTCAAAGGTCACAGAAATTGTCTTCAAAAGAAATCGTGGCTGGGTGCAGTGGCTCACGCCTGTAATCCCAGCACCGTGAAAGGCCGAGGTGGGCAGATCCCCTGAGGTCAGGAGACCAGCCTGGCCAACATGGTGAAACCCTGCCTCTACTAAAAACATAAAAATTAGCCAGGCGTGGTGGCGTGTGCCTGTAGTCCCAGCTACTTGGGAGTCTGAGGCAGAAGAATTGCTTGAACCCAGCAGGTGCAGCTTGCCGTGAGCTGAGATGGCGCCACTGCACTTCAGCCTGGATGACAGAGCCAGATTCTGTCTAAAAAAAAAAACAAAAAACCTGCTGAGTGTTTGTTGTATTGCTTTTACTATTCACATGCCGTTCATTTTCTTCTGCTTCCACCCTAGGTATAACAAATACAACTTACACAACAAGGAACAAACAGTGTACACCCCTGATGCTGTCAGTGTCCCCACCTATCCATGGTGGCCCATTGCCCCTGCTCTTCCCTCTGCAGAACTAGAGGCTGAGATGGGAGCCGCCTCCATTCATGGCCTCTGCTGGGGACATCCCTGCATTCCCTCAGCATTTCACTGGACTTTTCAACTGCATGGTTCCAGGGGAGTTTCTGTAGCTGTGATAGTGTGGCATGACACCTATTTTCCAAAGTGCTTCCACGTCCCCAACCAGACTTGGCTCACCTGCAGACACTTGGAGGGGCGCTAATAGAGCCGTCTGTGGTGGGGGGCAGGGGTGCAGGACAGAAACTCTTGCGCGTGTCCACAAACCCAGGAGTTGTGGTTGCTGTTTTGGGAAATGATGGGGCAGCAAGATTTGCAAGGTGAGGTGTAGAGGCAGGTGAGAGCGTGGCAGGCGAGAGTGCTGGGAGGGGGGCCAAGCCTGTGGGGCTGTTCCTTGGGGCAGCTGGGGCCGAGTGTCTGTGGTCCTCCTTGTTGATGCCATGAAACACGTCACCTGCATTTAGAGAGGCGAGAGTCACTGCCAAGTTTTTGTTTCAAATACGTTTGAACCTATAGAAGATTGGAAAGAACAGTGCAAAGAGTACCCACTCACCTTGCTTCACCGTCACGATCTAATACTCTGTCACATCACAACTTGACTTCTTACATGCACACACACTTTTTGGCTGAACATCTATCTGCCAGTTGCACTTGCCCAGAAACACCTTTGGCATGAACTCCTTAGAACATCGAGGAGGTTTTTAAAAAACAATGTTTCACCTTTTTCTTTTTCTTTAAAGAGACAGGGTCTCACTAGGTCGTCCAGGCTCGTCTTGAACTCTTGGGCTCAAGCGATCCTCTCACCTGGGCTGCCTAGAAGTGCTGGGACTAGAGGTGTGAGCCACTGTACCCGGCTTTTTACTTAAAAATTTCCTTCCTTACCTTTATTCTCTTTCCTCCTACTTTTCTTTTTTCTCTCCCTCTCTCTTTCCTTTTTTTTTAAGACAGGGTTTCACCATGTTGGTCAGGCTGGTCTTGAACTCCCGACCTCAGGTGATCCGCCCACCTTGGCCTCCAAAGTGCTTGGATTACAGGCGTGAGCCCCCACGCCGGCCCCTCTCTCTCTCTTTTTCTGACATTTTGCTGAACAACCACAATACCACGCTCACACCAATGGCATTTAACACTGACAGGACACTCTCATCCAAGGTATAACCCACATTCAATTTTCCAGTTTCCTCAGGTGTCCTTTATAGCTTTTCCACCAACCCAGCCTCTTCCACATGTTTTCTCTTTTCACAGGACTAACACTTTTAACAGGCCATCTGTCTGCCAATCAGGATCTGTCTTGTCTTGGTAGATTTCGATACCAAGGTTCTGGGCACAAATCCCGCAAAGATTATGTTGCTCCTCATGAGTCTGTGGCAATGGGATAAACACCTTTATGTGTTTACCTGTGTCTCTGTTTCACGGTAGTGGGCACGGTGCTGTCTGCCAGGTTCCTCGAGTCCAGCACCACCATTCCTTTGTAATCTGTCAGTCTGCAGTGACAGGGTTGCTGTGTCCCCATCCAAATCTCATCCTGAATTGTAGTTCCCATAATCCCGTGTAGCGGAAGGGACCCAGTGAGATAACTGAAACATGGGGGTGTTTCCCCCATATCGTTCTGCTGATAATGAGTGAGCTCTCACGAGATCTGATGGTTTTATAAGAGGTCTCCCCCTTCACTGGGTATCCATTCTCTCCCCTGTGAAAAGGCACCTTTCACCATGATTGTAAGTTTCCTGGGGCCTCCCCAGCCATGCGGAATTGTGAGTCAACTAAAACTCCTTTATAAATTACCCAGTCTGGGGTATTTCTTCATAGCAACATGTGAATGAATTAATACAGGCGCCCAGCATCCCTCTGTAATCTGTCAGTCCCCTGTGGGTGAAATACTCCATTCCTCAAATGGATATCCCATATTAACCTCCATGGATGCTGCATACTTGCACCAGCTGTCACGCCACAGGCCGCGGCATGCTAACTCGCCACTCCTACCCTTCTTACACATTTAGAGGATGTGTGCTTCTGAAGAAGAGCTTCCCACCCTACTGCCCTGTTTCAGCACTCCTATCCCTATGGATCCCTGACTTTATTTGTATGCTATTGTCAACTTTCTTATCGTTTTTTTTAAACTTTTTTTTGTAGAGGCAGGGTCTCACTATGTCGCCCAGGCTAGTCTCAAACTCCTGGGCTTAAGCAATCCTCCCCTCTTGGCCTCCCAAAGTGCTGGAATTACAGGTGTGAGCCACTGCACTCAGCCCTCCCATTCCTTTTAATGCTCAATCTGTCCCAACTTGGGCTAGTGAGGTTTCCTCAAGCCAGCTACTGAGTTGCCATTGGTCTCTAATCACATTCTTGCTTTCAGGCCCCCTAAGTGATAGCCAGGGGCTGTACCCCAGGCTCAGTGACAAGCAGCCCTGTCAGCTCACATCTGCTCAGCATTTTCCTAAAGCAGCTTCTGAGAAATCCTGCCACGGGCTCAGAAAGCAATGACCTCCTAACCTGGCCAATATGGTGAAGCCTCACCTCTACCAAAAAATACATACAGTAGCCGTGCATAGTGGTGGGCGCCTGTAGTCCCAGCTACTTGGGAGGTCGAGGTGGGAGAATCACTTTAACCCAAAAGGCGGAGGCTGTAGTAAGCTGAGACTGCGCCATTGCACTCCAGCCTGGGCGACAGTGAGACCCTATCTCAAAAAAAAAGAAAGCAATAACCTCTTCTTATCACAGAACAACAGAAACAGAGACAAAAGCAAGACAGTGCAGCAAAGAAGCCCCAGAGGAATCTAGCGAGACAGCTAAAATTCTAATCAAAGGCCTAGGGATCAGCTCTCTGGGTGTGAGCATTTTTGGGCAGTTAATGACACTTAGGCCTCTGGCTAGGCCATGTAAAAGGCAGTTACAAAGATGAGGAGAAGTCAGTAAGCCCTGCCTTCCTGTGGACCCCAAGGGCTAGTGAGCCTTCAAGCCTTACCTACTGAAGGAGGTCTCTTGGATGACACTCTGAACTGGCTGTTGCTGGACTGCACTGTGGTAGCTGTGCAGGACACGGAGGACGTGGCTGATGAGGTGGCCATGACAACTTTGTTTGCTTCCATAAAAGCATCTTGGAAATTGTATAAACATTTCTTTTTTGCGGCATTCTTTTTCTCTTTACTATCCGAAACTGCAGGTGTTTCACCGCTAGATGGAGGTGGAAGGGCTTCAGGTCTTGTGTCTGAGAGTGTTGGCCCTAATATTTCACTCCCTTCAAAGAAGAACAGGAAAATTAAGGCTTCTGACAGCAATCCCACTTAGCTAAACCCTAAAAGACATGCTGATGACTGGACACTTGATACTGGGGCTGCTGAAGTCCGGACCCCGCTGGGAAGACGCTCAGTCAGCTACCCTTTAATCTAAGACAAAATTGTACTGAGCACCCACTATGTGCCAATTCCTGTACTTGGTGCTTTCCAAAGTTATGTAATGTCTTAGAGCTACTTTCTGAGGTTGGTCCTATTACTCCCATCCTAAAAAGATGAAGAAACTGAGGCTCAGAGAGGCCAAGCAACTTGCCCAAGGTCACACAGCTAGAAATCCTTCCCAAGCACAGATCAGGATGTCAAGCCTAGCCTGCTGTTCCGGCACATGCAGGGGCTGGGTGTGGGGCTGCCAGGAGCTCTGGCCACAGAAAGACAGAGATGAGACGTAGGTAGCAGCCCCTTTTCAGGTTCCCCAGACCCTGCGACTGAAGTAACAGCTGGGCCTCAGCGGCTGAGACATCTGGGGAGGAAGGAGCTTGTAAAAGGGAGAGATGCCACGTGGGGTCAATGCAGCAACCAGAGGAAGGAGTGTGAGTCACAGGTTTAAGCTGACTGTGGCACTGTCTCCCTGCCCCTGTGCACCAGGGGGCTGAGGTCTGGTTGTTACCACTGCTCGAGAATTGAAGGCCGGACATCCAACCATGGACACCACACCCTCAGCAGTGCTGGGGCTGTGCCCACATGGCTCACAGGGCTGACAGGCAGCCATGGAGCCAGAGTCTTGCTCTGCTCAGTCACGCAATGGGACTGACTGGCGGCAGATGCGAGAGGATGAAATAGGATGACAGCCCCAAGGGGCCTCCCACTGGAGACAGAGGTGATGGAGCAGCAGCTGGCTACAGCTGGGCCAGGGCTTCCACGGGAGGCTACTGCAAAGATGTCAATCTACTCAGCTCAGGTTATTTTAAAACTTTAAGAAAGTTTTAACAAATTCCTTACCAGAAATTGTATCTGGCAAGAAAGTGCCAGAATTCCAGTTCTTATCATTCATCACTTCTGATCCCCAAAGACTTATAAATTTAGAACTATTCCACTCTGGAGTATTCCCAAAACAGCTCGGATAAATATGGTCTTGAAGAGATGCATTGAATACCTGATGCTTATTTGTGTGATTCTGAACAGGTGCTGGCGGTAAAGCCTACAAAAAAAAATTTTCTAATCACATATCAAAATTAATATTCTGTTTACCTACATAAGTAGTTAAACTACAGACAGACAATTCATTATGAGCCTCATGGGACGTGCTCACCATGAGCTGAGGCCCACAGGGAGCACATCTCACAAAGCATGGAACTGATTTATGAGACTACACACAGCAGGCCAAATTTCAACCAGACGTAGATATGAAAAGCAACCGATGCCTTGAGGAGTGTATCTGAACAAACTTTATAGACCACTCAGTAACTTCTCACATTCCTACCGGGTCACATGTGAGTGTGGTTCATGTGTTCATGTGTGTCGTAAGATCTGTTTCTACAGCTTAGTCTCATAGTCTCAGCAGGCATTTTAAGAATCATCACTAATAAATCAACTTTGGAATCACTGATGGAAATGATAGAACCCTTACAATACCGACCTCTTATACTTGGGCAAGGTACAGCACAAATGTAATGAACTAGAGGAATTTTACGTTGTGCTCTCAAGACCAGGGCATCCTCAAAGAAGCTGCCTCACTGGCAAGCCGTGCCCTGAACCCTGTGGGGCAGACCACTGTTGAAGGGACCAAGGGGAAGCGATCAGGGTCCGGCCAGCGGGCTAGCCAACATCCAGGAATTTACTGAGTGACTAGCCATCTGGCTGCTCCTGTACACGCTGGGAACCCCTTGGGTCCTCCCTCTGCCTCGGCCCCTATCCAGGCCCCAGGCCCTGGCTGCTGACCTCCTTAGGAGCTCCTGAGCGCCATGTTCGCACAGCGGTGCAGCCGCAACAGCCTGTACGTTTGCACCAGGGCCTCTTCGCAGTCCTTCTCCCCACCACAGCCAGAGTGATCTTTGTTGAATGTAAATTCAAGCACATGTCACTCCTCTGGCTCGAGATGTAGCAATGGGTTCCCAAGGCTCTGGCCTGAGGAGATCCAAGAGAACTAGGGCCGCCACCTCTACCCCTCCTGCTCGCCAAGGCCCTGGACACACAGGTTTCCACTTGGCCGGCACATGCCTATTCACCTTCTTGGCCCTAAGCTTTGCTTGTACTGTGTCCATGCTCTAGAATGTGCAAGCCTCAGCTCATTACCACACTCACACTCATCCTGCACGCCTTGGCCTAAAGATCCCTTCATCAGAGAAGCCGGCATGCCTTTGTGGTCACCGCCCGAGACCCAACACCCAAGACCAAAGTGAGCCTTCCCACTGAACACACTAGAATCCTTAATTTTCCCTCTTAGTATTTACTGCAGTTATAATTCAAGGCCTACTTGTAGCCTACTGGTTTAATGTCTGCCTTTCCCCAAATTATATGCGCTTTAGCGTGAGGTGGGACATCTGGATCCTAGCCCTTCTGCCCCAGCCTCTGCTAATGCCGGGTAGGCACACCGCTCTCCCTCAGCAAGACTTCTGTCTGCTGGAGTGAAGGAGTGCCCCGTTACGGGCAGTCTGGTCATCACATCCTCTGGGACGCAGAAATGAGCAGTGAATTCTGCAAACCCGAGTGGGAGGGTACTCCAGAGGGTTCTTAAGAGCAGGTCATGTTTCGGCAGAATCCTGCAGGCCTGGCTGGGTCAGAGGGAGCACAGGAAGGCTTAGGAGCACAGGGATGACAGTGCCACATCCTGACAGGCTCCAGAATGAGTAGGGGCAGCAGCCAGGCCAAAGACAACTTTCATTTTGTCCTGAAGGGGCTGGGGAGCCACAGAGGGATTTAAGCAGCAGAGTAAGATGACTTGGTCAGCTTATTGGAAAGATCAATCTGGCAATATTGTGTGGATGAACCAGAGGTGGAAGGAGGGCAAACTGTTAGTCAGGGGATGAGAAATGATGAAGCCATGGCGGTGAAGATGGCAAGGAAAGAAAGAATTCTGGAGCTATCAAAATGAGAGCTGGGACTGCACATCTAGTCCAGGAGCTACCACTGTGGCTCCACCACGAGGAGGCACGTTCAGGTGACAGCTACATCTGAACTCTAGTCCCATGTCTTGGCCTTCGGGTTCTGCAGTCTGGTGAGCTCAGATGCCAGCTCTCCCTTTTACTAGCTGTGTGACCTCAGGCAAATCACTCAATCTTTTTGTGCTTTAGTTTTCTCATCTGTCATCTGGAAATACCTACCTCCAGGGTGATGGTAAGAGTTCGGCACACTGCCTGGCCCACAGTGAGTCCTTAGTGTGAAGGTGCACTACGCTCACTTTCTGACTATACAGAGACTACTTACACAGACACAGAGTCCCTGGACACAAAACAACTGACCACCCGACCGAACCTTTCCACCTTGCCTCTCTTCCACAGCACTTCCCTCTGGGCTGCTGGAACAGGCCCAGAAAGGCAAAGAGGGAGAAGAGGCTAGAGCAGACACTCAGGACTCAACAGCAGGAAAAAACCAGGTCTAGCTGGGCCACCCAGGATACAAGCAAGAGCCTGAAGTCATTGTTTTTGGCATGGGAGCCCCAGGGTGCAGGAGGCAGGAAAATAAGAACACAGTATTTTATAGATGCCATTTCTACAAAGCACTGATAAACTAAGAGCTGCTTTGCTGAGAAGTCATTGACGAAAAGTAACAATTAAGTAGAAAATTTCTTAGTCTTGAGTATCTTCTGCCAAAGGGCACAAACATCTGACAGATGCCGAGCTGCTGGCTCTGAGCAGCAGTCCTATCGTGCTGGCCCAGCTGGTAAACCCTGACTAGCAGAAGCAGCTCAGGACTCTGAAGCTATCTGAGCACCTCCTGGACTCCTCAAGACATGCCCGTGAGTTGCTCAGAGCCTGGGCCCCAGCAGCCCGTGTGTCAGGCAGCTCCTGCTTATCGTTCAACACCGTGTTTTGCATGACCTCCTCTGCAAAACCACCGTGGCTCATTTAAACTCTTCCCTCTCCAGCGTTACTTCTCTGCCTAGCAACTGCAAGTTCCAGCGGGTATGCCACAGCAGTGACATTTTGTTTTGATTACGTTTTTGTCTTCTCTTTAGGCTGTGAGCTCTTTGAAAAGAGGGGCCAGGACTAACTGATTTTTGTTCTTCCTACGGTGTAGCCCAGGGCCTGGCACAATGGGGGCTCAATAAGTGTTTGCTGAACAGTGTCTAGCTTAGAGGAATAAGGGAATGCATCCACACAACTGTAACGCTGGAAACATAAGGTAACGATTCTACGCACTTGGTTTACACTGTTCAGAACCCTCCCAACTCAAAAAGAGGGGCCCAGTTGCAGGAACAAAGGTAACAGTGATCAGTAACAACAACAAAAAAGCTATATTTTCTTCAATGCTTTTGCGGAAGATGCCTATTGACCCCAAGAGCTTATAGATTTCCTTTCAGAAAAAAACAGGTGTCTGTCACCTAGACCATTTTTGGGCCATGACTTTGTAAGTCCACCAATGATGTAACTATAAAATAATGCTCTCAGAATGTGGACTATGCTACTGAATCAGAATACCGATTTCACTCGTTACACAAACGCACAAAGCTTCAACTGGCAGGAGTTTTGAATTTTTATCCAGTTTGAGACAAAAGAAGTAATCCACAGGAAAGGAAAACTGTTGCTCTGAATGAAGGCTCTGACACAAAGGCAAACACAGAAAGCTGCTTTCCACCGGGCACACATTCTGAGTTTACCTGGGAGGTGGGTGACTCGCCTGTCCTCTACCACGCACACGCACTCGGACACAGAATGTGGTGCAAGACACGAGGAGCAAGAGCCGCAGGCTGAGTCACAAGGCCCACATGCGAGAGGTTCTCAACGCTAAGCATCCGAGAGAAAAGGAGTACCAGTTGTATCCCAGCATGAGGATGAGATGACGGACTCGGTATTTCTGCTTAACTAAGGTTTCTAGGTACTCCTCCCAGAGCCAGTGAAGACGCGAAGGACACCGTTGCTTTGGCTGTGCCAACTTTCAGACTGGAAGAGCTGAGTCTTAGCTCTAAAATAACATGCAGGTCAAAGATCTCAATGAGATCCCCAAACTGCAACCTATTTCTGACCCTAATATCCACACAGCTTTACATCCTCAACCTAAATCTGAATTTCTACTTTTAACTGTATTTAATTGAAATCATGTTTGCACTGTAGTAAATGCTTTTGCAGTGGTTTTACTTAAGTCTCAAAGTAACCTAGAAAGTGAGGTGTAAAGACACACCCTGGGCCTGGAAGCTAACAAGGGAGCAGGGCCACTTGGCACCTGCTCTTCCCCTTGCCCTACGTTACCAGCTCCACTTGATACCGTGAACTCCTGAGGGCCAGAACCCAGTAACCACTGCTGATGCCCCCCGTGTTCTCAGTGGAGACTTCAAGACGTCCCTGTCTTCACTTCTAGGCCCTTTCTTAGTATGGTAACTGTTTCACAGCACATCCCGTGTTTGATGAAAAAGACCCAGGATTCAAAGTCACATGCCTTAGGTTGTAGTACAGATTCAGGCCCTGCAGTGGTGATTTCTTACTCCTGGCCACATGGATGGCAGGTGGGAGGAGCAGCAAGGAGCAGCTGCACCTGCTTGGCTTTGCTCTTCCCTTCAAGGTGTTCTTCCCCCCTGGTCTGGGCCATGTCAGGTAAGAGGAGCTACTTAGCTCTAGATCGGAGAGAAATGACACTGAACAGCCTAGAAACCAACTGCTATCTACAAACACAAAGGACGACAAGAAGTACTAGGTGGCGATGAAAGAAACCGAGGTGGAGGTGAGGGCAAGGAACGGCTGCACACCATCGCCACAGTGACGTGTGGGGGCAGCAGTTTGCAGACCTTCGAGAGGAGCTCAGGTCTCAGGCAGCTCTCACAGCAGCAGATGCCAACCCTCATAGACAAACGTCTACTATGGAGGTCTGCAGGTTCTCGATAACCTCCTAATACAATGCATCCACACAGGAAGTAATACAGCACAGGTGATGTCAGCAGAAATCAGATCTGGGTGCGCAAGGTTTCATTCAAACAGAGTAACTTTTTGTGAAATGCTTAAAGAAAAAAGAGAAAACCAAGAAACAAGAGAATATAAAAAGCTACTA